TTTGATATGGCAATATCAAGAATATAAAAATACAAATTAACTTTAAAATGTAATTCTGGAGATTGGATTGGCTCATCTTTATGTTCATATTCATAAAAAGTCTTTTTTCTTCTTGGTCGACCTGTATGAACTGCAGGAAATGAAATTTCTTGAGTTATTTTACATCTGGTAATGATTTCTTAATGTATCATTTTAAAGGGTGAACAGTGCATCATAAACTTTTTCCAATTTTCCATATCTAAGAGTCTTTACGAGATCAATTCGACTCTCCCACCGGGTATAAGAGAGGGTTTTAGCGTTAACCTAGGCACTTCTTTTAAAAGAATATTTCATCGCGATATGTTGATGAAAAAAAAAAGACATTTAGTTCCTGAATAATACCAAAAAATTTGGTAACTTCAAGCGAGCATTTTGCTGCATCATTCACGACTAAATTAAGGCTGTGTGCCGCACAAGGGACAAAAAAGGCATTGGGATTAATATCTAAGATCTTTTTTGTAGGCCATTGTGTTTGCCTTTCATATTGGCATCATTGTCATAACTCTGGCCTCGCATATGGGCTATACTAATATCAGATTCCTTTAAAAATTTAATATGAAATCAGTTAAACCTTGACCAGTAGTGTTGCTAACTTCGCAGAATACTAAAAAATGTTCTCGATCCTCTACAGTTTTAGAAAAATCATCAACAAAAACAAATCTAACAATTGTGATTTGTTCTTGATGACTAATGTTAGGTGTGCAATCAAGGATAGTTGAGAAATATTTGCACATTTTTAAGGATTCAATTATATATTTTTAACTTTTTCTCCTACTAAGGTGATTATCCCAAATAATTGCCATTTTTTTTAATCCCTCCGATATGGTCAGCCATTACACTATCAAATTTTGCTATTGTTTCAATTAACTTCATAAAATTGCCATTACCTTTTCCCAAATTTTGTCCAGCCAAAAATTGAATCACAAAAATAATTCTTTCTAAAACAGATGTCCGTCCATCTTTTTTTTTCTATTTGAAATAAATTCTGATTCATATAATCGACAGTTAAACCTTATTCAATTGATTTTTTTAATTCGGCCCATTTCTTAACACTTTAATTTGCAGGAAAGCAGTATACTGAATCTTTAGATTTTGGGTAAATAAGTCAGTCTCTAGGTATTTTTTCATTACGTATTAGTTAACTTTTTACGAAGTAAGTAGAGCTAAAAGATCTGTTTAAATTATTTACAGGATATATAATATTTTTTAATTGGACCTATGTCCAAAATTATTACTATCTAACTAAACGATCTAACAGTATCTGTCAATACTTCTGGCCAATTTGCTGGATCTTTAAATTGTGGTTTCAGTTTGCGTATTATTTAATGAGGGAGTATTCGATGTATCCTGGTCCAGTGTAATGTTTTCGGTGGTCGATTTATTTTGGACCTGTTCTACTGCATCATTTTCACTTAATTTAAAAGATTGAACATCTAGTCCTTGGCTTGTTGAAGGTTGAGGTTGCGTACTCGTCGTGGATACAACTTTTTTAGTGAGCTAGCTAATCGCTTTCGGTCTTCCTCTTTTTCTATCCCTCTTTTTCGATATTATGAACCAGAAAATCTCTTTCTAACACCAGCCATCTAAATCAGTAAATAACAGTTTATAATTTGAACAAAAATAAAGACTTATGTTAAAAAAAAATTTAATCAGTAAAAGTGCAAAATACTGTTTAACTTTATACAATATATCATGTAGGTCAGGGGTGGCCAACCTTTTTAAGTCGAGTGTCAATATGAGAACAAAAAAAATTTGGCGTGCCACTAAAATTTTTCGACATACTAATATGGATACTATATATTAATAATATACGGTACAATATGTATTTCTTATGTAAATTCCACATTTTTCCGTTTAGTCAAGATAGTGGAGGTTTAAAAAATAACGTAATAAGTAAAACATAACAACAAACTTACTTTATTGTTAATAAAAATAAATAAAAACGTTAAACAAAAAAACTTAAATATTTTCTTATTATCTAAAATTCAAATTATTAAACAGTTACTTATTTAATGTGGTATTTGAACTTGTATTTTTTTAATTAATTCATCTATATTGGGATTAATTTCGGAACTAGCCAACAGAATTAGATTTTTTAAATGCATGTCAGTTAATCGTGACCGATATTTTGATTTTATTATGTTCACAATAGAGAACATTTGCTCACAAACGTACGTTGAACCAAATCTACAACAATATCTCAGAGCTAACTCGTGTAAATTAGGAAAATTGTTTGCTGGTACAAATTTCCAAAATTCAATATAATTGGGATCAGTAACAGTTGAAATAATTTCCCTATATTTGGTTTTTAGTATAGTGTGGTTCTGTAAATCAATAATTTCGATCTGTATTTCAGCTGAGTAACAATTGATATCTTGCAGAGAAATAGAAAAAGGATTTATGAAAAGGTCAACATTCATTTTGTCTTTTTGAAAATCTTCAAACCGGGTATTGAATGAACTTAGCAAAATAGATATAAGGTTTTTAAATCTGTCATAATTTGGAGTTCTACTGACCTTGTTGGCTAATTCCTGCATTAATGTGAAATGTGTCAATCTCTGTTCTCCAAAATCGTTACAAAAAAGCATAAGTTTATTCACAAAAGAAGATATATGACCAACTAGAGTAGGAAAAATACAATTTTTTCCCTGTAATCTTAAATTTAATACATTTAAATGTCTCATAATATCAGTGAGAAAAGCTAAATCCCAAAGCCAATCTTTATCATTAAGTAACGAGCACTCACTGGGTAGTTCATTGTTTTCTTGCAAATATTTTAAGACGCACTCCTTCAAGTTCCAAAACCTTTCGAGTGCATTTCCTTTGGAGAGCCAGCGCACACTGCAATGGAGAAGTAACTCTCCATCTTGCTCCGTTTCTTCCGCGAACAGTTCTCGAAATTGTCGTCGATTCAATGCTTGAGCTCGTATTTTGTTAATGCAGCGTGTTACAGGGTCAACAACAGATGACATGTTTAGGTGCTTGGCACAAAGAGCTTCCTGGTGAATAATACAATGGTACTTAAAAACTTTTCTTCCCAAATAGTTTTCCAGTAATGTAACAAACCCCTTTAGTCTACCAACCATGCAAGGAGCTCCATCTGTACAAACACTATCTAATTTTGACCATTCAACTTTGTTGACTTCGATTACGTTTTTAAGCTGTTGAAAAATGTCCTCTCCTGTTGTTGTGACTAGTTGGCGCAAATCCAGAAGCTCTTCGGCATTTTCAAAATTATCATTGGTATAACGGACAAAAATGCTTAACTGCGCATTTTCTGTGTTGTCACAACTTTCATCCAACGCTAAAGAAAAGAATTTGCAGGATTGTAATCCACTTATAATTTGGGAAACAACATCCTGGCCCATATCATCTATACGGCGCATGACTGTATTTCGGGATAATGCAATATTATCGACCATATTTTTGATCTTTACATCTCCCACATTTTTAGCAAATATTGCCAGACTATTTTTAATTATCTCCTCTCCATCAGAGTAGGCTTTTTTCTTCCGGGCTAACAGCAGAGAAAGTTCATATGATGTTTTAACCATAGTTTCCATTTCATCACTTCTCTTCTGAAACAGTGACTGTTGGCTGGCTAGGGTTTTCTTTTTTTTTTTCAATAAAGTCGGCTCGCAAATGTGAACCAATAGGATATTTGTTGCTGAAGTCCTTATGCAGTTGTTTATAATGTCGTTCCAGGTTAAATTTTTTCGGAACTGCTACAGACAATCCACATATCAAACAAACAGGCTTTGAAGTATTACGATTAGTAAATAAAAATTGTTCTTCCCAAGCAGGTTGAAAATCGCGAATTGCAATATCATCTTCGTATTTTCGTTTTGAAGTCGAAGGCTTACTCGTAGACATACGCGTGCCACTGATAGGACTCAATCGTGCCACAGAGTGGCACGCGTGCCGCGGGTTGGCCATCCCTGATGTAGGTAATGAAAAGCTATTTTGAATAAACTTACCATTCACAATACACTGATAACAGTAATAATATAATGTATAACAAATATATTTAAAAAAAATAACATTAATAGACAACTTATTAAATTCGCAACTATCTTTCGATAAAACTTACTCGCATGAAAGAAAACGCATAAAACACGTATATATTTCGGCTCGAAATATTAATTCCCTGATAATTTCGGGAAATCCCGAAAATATCGGGGAATTCTCTAACGCCGCCGCAGTAATAGCCGCCGCATGTAATAGCATTCGTCAGCGCCAGCTACGCACAATTTTGGCACTATTGTTTTTATTGTACTAATGTATATTATACATCACAGAGAAAGGCTGCGCTATCTTAGCAACTATTTGGTTAGTTATTTTTTTGCAGTTTGCTTGCTTGGCGTTTTGATTTTATTTTTTTGATATTTATTTTTTTTTTATATTTTCGGGAAATTTTGCCGCCCGGGTGCCTTGCACGGCACGGCTCGGCCCTGATTGCTTTATTCCGAAGCAATTTGGCGGTGTAAATAAACAATTAGATTTTGATTATTCTACTTTACTATACTAAGAAACACTAAATTCTTTCTCATCGAGGACTTTTAAGACGCATGTTTAAAACCTTATACAGAGAGGAAAAAATATGTTACATTTTTAATTCATAAGAAAACATGAAAATGTCCTTAAGTTTCCAATGTATGATGATTTTCATGGCTATGGCACGAGTTACGAAAGCAAGTAATTGCACTGTTCTCGATATTAAGATCACTGAAAGCAACAAATTGAACACTGCACAATGAATTGTTTAAATGTTTAGTTTCGCGTTTATGAAAAAATGTTTCAATTCAATTGGTTATTTATTACTTTTTTATTAACATTCATTAAAGTATTTCTATTTTATTTTACTGTATCTTTATATGTGAACTTCAAACTCCTTTTGTAAAAGTGTTCAATAAACATCCTATTTTTATATTATTAGTACTTACTTATTCCCCTATTTTCAGGTTTAATTTCCGATGCCTTCCACATGTTTTTCGACTGCACTGGTCTTCTTGCAGGATTAGTGGCATCTGTTATCACGAAATGGAAAGCAAACGACAGGTACTCTTACGGATATGTGAGAGCCGAAATTATAGCCGGGTTCGTGAACGGGCTGTTCTTGCTCTTTATTTCCTTCTTCTTAATGTCGGAGGCGGTCGAACGAGCGATCGAACCACCTGAGGTAAGTGGACAGAAAATACACTCAGATGCAAAAAAAACGCAACTGAGAACATTTTCGTCAAATTCGAAGTTTTTCAGTTTTTTTATTTTTAGCCCTATTTTGATGATTTTTTTAGCACACTGTGTAAAAATTTATAAATTTTAATTTATAATAGTGAGTTTTTTAATAAAATTTTGTATTTGACTTATTATACGAGGTTAATCGAAAGGTAGTTTTTTATCCTAAATTTAAACATCCTGTATAATAATCCCGTTAGCGGATTTTCGCTATAGTGGTAAAATGGTTGCAACCGAAAAACAAGGTTTTTCGGTTGCAACCATGTCTTTCCTTTCATGTGAAAATATGGATTGGTTCATTTTTTTGGAGCGAAATTACTTCTCCATCTTCTACCATCCACAATTTACAACTTCTCCTATTATTACCATTATCTACTAACAAAGAAAAACTACTAAAAAAATAACTTAATACTTTGTTTTGCCTCCCCTAGCTTCTATAACTGCCTGAACCCGTCTGCTCATGCTGTATATGAGGCTGCGAATATCATCTTGTTTAATGTTTTGCAATACCTCTTCTAGAGCCAAGCGAAGTTCGTTAATTGAGGCTGGTGAGACTTCGCGACCTCTAATATTTCTACCAAGCATGTCCCAAACGTGCTCTATTGGGTTCAGATCTGGCAAACACGCTGGCTAGTTCATTTTAATAATACCAACTTCCTCTAAATATTGCGTGACACACGTTGCAGAGAGGGATCGCGCATTATCTCACATTAATAGAAAATCATCGCCGATATATTGAGAAAAGGGTAGTACGTGATTCGCTAAAATTTCCTATGTAATTTTTTCGTATGTAGTCAACGAACCCTCAATAAATACCAATTCAGTGTGCGCCTCTCGGGATATTCCTGTCCATACCATTACCACAGTATATTGCTAAAAGAATTCTTTTTAAGCAATATACTGTGCCATTACCGAACTTCTTCCATGGCTAACGCGGGGATTGAAAGCGCACTCCGCAAATCTCTCTCCAGTTGGACGTCATACTCGTTCTCTCTAATCTGATAAGTGAAGACAGTATTTCGACTCATCCGTAAAAAGAACATTACTCCAATGTGCTAAATTCCAATGTAAATGTTTCCTGGAAAATTGTAGTCTAGCCACTCCGTGCTGTGGAAATCATTTGGGCCCAGTTGCTGGTCTGCAAACTAAATTCATATAATCTTGTAATCAAAGTTCGTTCATATAAACGAACTGTAAATAAATTATTGCCTCGACCCTGTTGAAGCTGATTTCTTGTATGCATCGCTGTTAAGTGACGATCTAAAGCGGTAGTTTTGCGCTTCCTGCCACTTCCCGCTTTAGGCATGTTTGTTCCAGTCCGTATAAACTACTACCCTACCACAGTTCCACTACCCTTTGGATGATAGAGCGATGTGTGTGTGTGTAGTACTCTAGCCACATATTCATAATTTTGCCCATCTTCAACCAGAGCAACGACTTTCGCACAATCTTCGACACTAAGAACCACGATCAATCATAAGTAGACAAAATGTAAGTTCAATATGACATAATAACAGTCACCAAAGCCACATCGTCGTATCACAGTTTAACCACAAACAGTTAGGACACTCTTAGTCGGCGCCTTTGAAGTATAAAAGTATCCAGACGCCATATTGAAAACAGACTAGATCAGTTACGGACTGGCACAAGTGGTTACAACAGAGACGTGTTTATATTATTTCAAAGTTAGTAAACAAGTTAATTTGAATTAATTACAATCGACAATATATTAATTTAATTTAATTATTATTATCAAAATGTTTTATTTATTTTATATAAAAATAAATCTTTTCTACCATAGCCAAATAAGAAACTGAAAAACTTATATTCCAAAACAACAAATTATTTAATATTTTGTGATATTTTTCGGGAGGCAATTTTGTGTGTAAACTAATTTAAATAGACTTACTGTTAACTTCTACAACAATAATTTAACAAAAGTAAACTTACAAAAAACTTTAACAAGTAAAAATGATATCGGAAAAAATAAGAGGGAGTGAATACGTATATATACATATATATATATATATATATATATATATATATATATATATATATATATATATATAATATATATATATATATATATATATATCTTAATTTCTAAAACAATCTTGACAAAAGTTTAGGGTGATACTACGTTCCTTACAACTTGCTCTCTTACAGTCATCACATGATTTCATGTCTTTATGTTTCGGACAAAAATGACGTCTTGTTTGCTTAGCAGGTTGTCGATTTGAAAGTTCCTCAGTTGGGTTTCTTGAACTCTTGTCTTGATCTGTTCCAAGAATTTTTATGATTGTGGTTTTTAAATCATTATTAGAGATCTGTTTCATATCTTTTCTTCTTTTCAGATGTTCATTCAAAAGACTTTAACCGAGTAATATCGTGAAATGTTTTTGAGACAAAGAACATTGACTATTTGCGCTTTTATAACGAACATATGCATTTTTTCTTGTTATATGTTAAATTACATAAAAGACAGCCAGGGGCCATCTTTTTATTATAAGTTTTTTACCTGCCTTTTTAAATGGCATTTACTACAGTTTCTAGTAGAATGGTTGTGAATTTAAGATTTTTTTAGTAGCAATGGTACTTGTTTCTTTTTAAAGTATTTCATACAGTTCTAGCAGTAATACCAGTTTCTTTTGAAATTAGAACGTGCTGTTACAAGGAAAATTAATTTCAGTTAGACTACTTACGGCAGTTTTAGGCTGTTCCTGTTCTTCATTAATTGCACGAGCTGTTTAATTTTCAAATTTAAAAATAATGTTGTGAATTGCAGATTTTGATGGTACAGCGCTTTCGAATGAAAACGAAAACGTAGCGATTACATCGTTGGCCCTACTTCCAGAATAATATCATTTAATAATTTGAATTTTATGTTCAGTTGTAAAGGTTACCATTTTCCTAACTGGAAATATCAATTCCTTTATTTTTTTGCGAATAAAACCAGAATTAGTATTTATTTATTTATTAACGGGATGTTTCCATTTTTTACAAAACAATCAACAACATAAAATATCCTAACCATAACATAAATACTAAAACTAAATATTAAATAATTATTAAATATTGTTAAACAATTATTAAATTACATCAATTAAATTTTTATAAAAATAATTTTTAAATGAAATTAATATCCCCAAGTTTTTTTAGACTTAATTAAACGAAAAATAAAACTCGACGATAAAGATATAAACAAACAAATCACGACAGATGACTCGACTACACGTCACATTAATACCAGTCGGGTGTCACTAGCGTTCGGTCTGTTTTCAATATGGCGATATGGCCTGCGCTAAATGATGCGCGTACTTTTTCCCGCCTGTCGAGTGTCCATACTATTTCTTTTTTATACTATGGTCGTATTACAAAATAACTAAAAAATAACAATAATTAAAAAAGTCCAAATTGTGGGTGGCAAATTCATTTGGCTCTAAAAATGAACCAAGGCATATTTTGGCATGAAACGGAAAACAATGCTTAGGATACATGGTTGCAACCGAAAAATAGGGTTTTACGAAAATTCGCAAACGGAATTATTCCACAGGATGTTTCAAAGTTAGGATAATAAAACCACGTTTTAATTAACCCCGTACAATAAGTCAAATATAAAATTGTATCAAAAAACTGACTATACCAAATTAAAATTTATAAATTTATACAAAGTGTGCTAAAAAAATCGTGAAAATAGGGCTAAAAATAAAAAATTGAAATGCTTCGAATTTAACCAAAATTTCCTGTTACGTTTTTATTGCATCTGTTGCACTTTCTTGTTAAACTTCTACTTTCTTTTGTTTTAAATCGGTCTAGGTGTTTTTTAGTTTCCTTGTATCTTTGCCATTTCTAATACAGCCTTTCTTTGACTAAATTAATAAATCAGGATCGGTAGGTATGTTGGTTTTATAAGTAGACAAAACAACAGCAAAAAAATATGGTTAACATTAAATCATATTATCCATAATTCAAAACATATAAAAAAAGACAGTAACAATTCATGAGTTACAATATCATAATTCTGCATTCAATAGAGCTGAGGACATATTATCTAATCAATTATAAATCAATACTTTATATAGAGCCAGGAAAGTGCATATTCGAATGGCAACTTAGAAAACCATATTAGAGAGGTCATAAGAAAACTAAAAAAAGGAAAATCGCCAGGCTATAATGGTCTCTAGTATAGATATTATTAGAGAGTTTGCAGAGGAGCTGCTACCGATTATAATTAAATTAGTTAACATATCTTTTGCCACTGGATTAATCATAAACTCTATGAAAATAGCGATAGTAGTATAAAGGAGGGGAGTCAAAGCAACCTGGAAGTTAGAGACCAATATTTCTGCCAGCCATGTCAAAGATCTTGGAATCATGTGTAGATAATCAAATTATACAATTCCTTGATTCATCCAGCTCCTGGCCTAACAGACAATATGGTTTTAGACATTCTTCAAGCACAGTCTTTGATGCTACTGGCTTAATAACTTTAAGTAGAGGAGTGGTAAGAGACTCAAATTAAATCGAAACGCAACCGTCTTCGTATATAATAACTTTACAAATTAGACAAATGGTTAAGTTGTATATTTGTATTGGTTGAGGGACTATTTGAGTAGCAGAATACAAAAACTGCTATGTAACAATGTGCTAAGCGCCGCAGCAGATATTGCATGTGGAGTTCCTCAAGGGTCTATATTGGGAATAAAACTTTTCTAAATTTATACGAATTCATTATCCAATTTACTGCAGCAGTCCATGTTGTATCTGTATGCTGATGACACTGGTCTTGTGTATCCCAATAAAGATCCCAGAAAATTAGAAACTGATGTATATAATGACTTAATAGAAATAGATGAGTGGCTTAAGTATCACAAACTCTCACTTAATATGAGTAACTGCAGTTATATGATAATTTCAAATGTAGATACACATAGAGAGATGCAGTTGAACTTTGGTAAATTTAAATGAGATGAATACATATCTTGGATTGCATATATATATATATATATATATATATATATATATATATATATATATATATATAATTACTTACTTGAGAACAACATATATTACAGATATATCATAAAATAGCTCCAGCAGTGGGCATACTAGGAATAATTAAATAGAAAAATTTTAAAATTTACATATATACTGTCTTATTTACAGTATTTGTAAAGTGATTGCTCCATGAGGTCAATAATAGTAATAGAGCTAGCAAAATAGATTATCAATATCCAAACTTCCATGTCGTAAAGTAAGATTTCTTCTTCTAGTTCTAATTTGAAATATCTTCCATATAGATATGATAGAAGAATTTATCTTTATTATTTATATATAAAGGGTTTTACTTTGTGAATTAAACCCTCTTAACATCGCCAAAATAATTATGTATAATTTAACAATTTCTTTATTTCAGGTCAAACACGAAAGACTGTTTGTCGTATCAGTCCTAGGTTTGTTGGTCAATTTAGTAGGTATCTACGCCTTCCAGCACGGCCATGGTCATTCCCATGGAGGTTCCCACGGCCATTCTCACGGAAGATCCAATCATGGGCATTCCCACTCCGTCAATAACCATCACCATTCCCACGACATAGAATTTGACAGCGGGAATTCACAAATAATGAAAGGAGTCTTCCTACATATTTTAGCCGACACTTTAGGCAGTGTCGGGGTAATAATATCAGCTGTGCTCATGAACATGTTCGGTTGGATGATCGCAGACCCCATCTGCTCAATGTTCATTTCTATCCTTATAGCACTTAGTGTCTTGGCTTTGATAAAAGATTCTGTAATGATTCTTATGCAAAGACAACCGGCGGCTCTGGACAACGTCCTACCGCAATGTTATCAAAAAGTGGTCAGTCTGGCGGGAGTCTATTCCGTTCAGGAACCCCATTTCTGGACCCTCTGCAGCGAAGTCTACGTGGGTACAATCAAACTAGAAGTATCCAAGACGGTGGACCCTAAATATGTAGTGTCGCACACTCAGATGATTTTCGCATCTGTGGGAGTGAGGCAGTTGTACGTTCAATTGGACTATACTCCAATGTGATAAACGAGTAACACAAAGTGATAAACAGCCAATCCGAGTTAAGGAGAAAAGCTACTAGGGAAATTAAAAACACATTTTCAATTTTGTTATCGTAGAGATTAAATTTTATAAATTTTTTGTACAAAAACAGTTTTTGTTTAATTAGCCTACGGACGCGCCATGCCTAATGGAAAGAACCGTATAACGCCGAAAACTAACGATTTTAAATATTGCTTTGGCGAAAAATACGGCCACGACGTGAAAAGTTTTCTGTCTAATAGAGAAAAATAATTTTTTTTAATGCCTTTATTTTCTTTGGTTAAATACCTGTTGACCAACATTTCTCCAGTTAGTTCGAAGTAGTACAAATCTACAAAATTTACCACCGATTACCAATGTCGATTTGACCCTATACTTAACAGCAGTGAAAATTGTTTAAGGCTTAAGAGTAATTTTTTTATTGTTAGATTCCATGTGTCCTCTAATAATCTACTCTATACACAGATTAATAAGTAAATAGTCCGTAAATACATTAACATGAGTTAGATACCGTCCAGTGACGGTTCTCTAAGTATTATTGCTGTAGGTTTTCCGGCCATACTCCCTTCTTCGGTATCTTCTTTCGGTAAGTGGTTGGGTGAATAAATTATTTATCAGTTCGTTGTTGTGATCAGTGGTGCGATTCTTATATTTTATTGAATGATTCTTCATTATTTTTAAGTAGTGAGCTGTCCAGATCATTGTGAAGAGTTTGATTAGATACATTCCATGGACCTTTACTTATTATAAGGAGTATTTTGGATTGAAATGTTGATTAACTGGCATTAATATTGATTTTCCATCACTTAAGCCATTTCTGTAATTAATCTAAATGATTTTGTACTTTTTGTAATACTAAATTAGGATCGATATCTACTACCAAGAATCCCGTGTCATCGGCAAAGGTAGCTAAGAAGATATCATTGATGGTTGGAACGTCTGCTGTAAATATCAGATTCAGAAATGGGCCCAGAACGCTACCTTTAGGTACGCCAGATTGTATGACGTAATTTCAGTAGCTATCTTCAATTTTGACTTGGAAGTAACGGTCAGTAAAATACAATTTTAGTATAAAATATAGTTGGTCTGTTAGGTGTAATTTGAGTTTGTAGAGACCTTTATGAAATACTCTATCAAAAGCCTGTTGTATATCGAGAAACACTCCAGCGCAAAACTTTTCCTCTTCAAGAGTTGTTTTAATTATATTTACTTTATGTGGCATTGTTGGATGGTTGACTGTTCTTGTCTAAATCCGAATTGGTGTTGTGATATAATTTCGTTTATGGAACAACTTACCTAGATTTTATGAAATAATATCCTTTCTAATACTTTCATTACATCACTTACATTATAGGAAGTATTCTTATGGGTCGATATGAATTTGCTTGTGTTGCAAGTGTTGTAGGCTTATCAGGCTTCGGAATCATAGTAACTTGAGCAAATTTCCATTGTATTGGAAATGATAACAAGATAATGCTTTTTCCAAAAAAAAACCTTAGAGGATAATAACAATTCTTGGTCATTGCATATTTTTAAATATCCCTAAATCTGGGGAAATTTAGCTCTTTGTTAGTGAAATGTTAGTAACTAAAATACAGACTTTTATACTGCTCCCGTAACACTTTATGCCTTTTTAGATAAAAATACCCAATTTTTTATTTTTTTTTTTCAAATTTTCCTAAATTTTAAGAAACTTAGCCTTTTTTGAAACATATATTGATCTCTCTCTAATGCATGGGCACCCAAGGAGCTTTCACACAACTGATATCTCGTTTTCTCGAGGTATGGGGAAATTCTTTAGTACACTTAATCTGTAGAAAATTTATTTACCTCAATTAAACTGTGAATAGTTGGTGTTTTAACGGTGGTAACTAAAATTCAAACTTTTCAAACTGTTGGATCAAAATGCTCTTAAAATATTCATAATGTTTTGACATTTCCCTAAATCTTGGGAAATGTAGCTTGTTTTAACCGATATCCACCTCCCTAATAGATGAAACCGGTTAAACTTGGTACTATTGCACTATGATATCCATGGAAAAATATATAATTAACCCGAATCTAGCATATTTATTTACACCCTTTGGGCTTTTAATAACTTTTTTAATGCTGATAAAGAAAATAGACATCCAATACATATATTCCTGTATAAAAATGCTGTCAAATGTTTCATATTTTTTTAAATTTCCCCAAATATGGAGAAATTTAGCCTTTTCAAACCGTAATCTATCTCTGACCACAAGATTGATGTTTCCTTTTTCCCCATTTAGGAAAATATTTAATATAATCTAAACAGGATAACTGTTTTTTAATGTTGATAAAGAGAATACACTTTCAAATTAACATTTCATGCATTTGTGTATAAAAATGCCTTTAGAGGTCTCATATTTTTGTGAAATTTCTCTAAATCTGAAGAAATTTAACGTTTTAAAAGCAATGTCTGTCTCCCTCGAATACCCGGACTCTTGTGGAGCTTTCGAATGACTGACAAGGTTTTCCCCAGAGCTGAGAAATATATTAAATGCATTCGAAACTACATTGAATGAAATTACTTTTTTGGTACCATTGAAAAAAGCGTATTAATTAAACATTTTCATCCACTTTCGATGAAATTATGTTGCTGATATATCATCTAAAATGAAGAATTTAATGTCTAAACAATAATTTCAGTTTATTTTTTACAATATCTTAATTAGCTGGATCAGACAAAATATTTGTCTGACCTTATATATAAATCTAAAATAATTCATTTATTCGTAGTAGCGCCATCTATGATCTAGACTGAGGACTTTTCATTTTACCCCGTAATTACGTCAGTAGCTACTCCATCTAAATATTTATAAGCTCTAATCTAACCTAAATCTAAATTAGATTACTTTTAGAGACACATTACTAATAAATTATTAATAACGTTAGTTTTAGAACACAGTGATGTTACTATATTAGACATTTCCTATAATTCCTATACAAATTAGCAGGAGTTGCTAATGAACTAAACAATTTATTTACATATTTTTGTATATACTGTTTAAAATGTTAAGTTTTATGAGGGCAACGAATATTTGTTCTCACTGTAGGTTTAGTTCCATTGAGCGTGGCACACCCTGTATTATGACCCAAGCAAAAAGAGATTTTCCAAACCGTTGTTTTAAGTTATTATTATACACAATATGATTTTGTATATAGTTGAATTTGAATTTTATTTAAAAAACATGTGTTAACAATTGTAAGGAAATAATATAATATGTTGTTTAAAAAAAAGAAACAATTTTTGCATTTAAATAAAACATCCTGATCATTAATAGTGTATTTTCTTTCTTATCAAAATATCAAAAATATAAGAGGACAAGGTAAAAATTTGTCAAATAACAAAAATATTGTTTAGAAATGTATTTTTCGATGTTAAACAGTCTCGAAAAAGCGAGCAGTAACCTATGCTAGTCCTTTGTTAAGACAAGGACGCCTTCTTTACATAGTAACAAGACATTTCAATTCACACACTCCACGGAATACAAAAGGGTTACGCATAAAAGATCTCGTTTGATCGTGGTACAAAGAGGCGGCTGAATAGACACTATACTACACTCTACAACTATTAATTGTTTACAGTACGTTAAGTTTTGGATTAGATATGCACACTACATAAAGCGCTAAAATCGGCAACATTGCCTCGTACGAGGTAATTGTAATTCCTCGATCCCCTCCTGGACATTTTTTATGTCCTATAGAAATGATTAAAATATTTGACCTACGGCTAAATAGTATCTCAATCTGCCATAAAAACTTCTGCGGACAAATGAAAGAGTTTCTGGTGTAACACAATTGGAGGCTGCTCTTATTCGATTTTTTTTTTAATTCATTCATCCAAATTTTGAGCTCTAGCCTCAGGATGATCTTAGATGATGCTTTTAAATGTCTTCAAAAAGGAAGTCCATGGGTGTAAGATCTGGAGATCGGGCAGGCCACTTAATATCACCTGTTTCACTGATAACTCGATTCGGGAAAGCATTGGTTAAAAACTCCCTAATTATTCGAGCGTCCTGAACTGAACAGCCGTCTTGATGGAACTAAACATTCTCCAGATTTACATCAGGAAGATTGAGAATAGCGGGAAGAACATAGTTCGAGGTATACTCTACTGTGCAACACTTTCGTGCTGGTTTTCCCGCGCCCAATACCTCTTAATGGAAGGATTATGTCTCCCTAGTAACGAAACAGATGAGTAAATAAAATGTTTTTAATAAAATTTGGTTCATCATTAGCCTTCGTTATAAGAGTTTCACAAAACTCCATTCTTCGAAAGTAGTCGTCTGGATACAGCTGCTGCGTTTTCCAATACTTCTCAACTTTTTCTGGTGACACATATTGAGCTTGATATTTTCAGCAATTTTTGAGGCAATAACTCTCAAAATTTTTAACAATATTATGAATTGACTGTACGCAAGCAATTGGTCTCCCCTTAAAAAATACAGAAAATAAATCTACACACTGTAGTCCAGAATTAACGCCATAAAACCATTTTATTATTTGAACTTTTTCTGCGGGCGTATAAACAGACGCATAAACAGATGTTGTTTATAAAAATAAATTAAAAATCTACGCTCTTATTGCTTTAAACAACCACTGTATAATGACAAATTATTGGCGACGGGGCACCGGAGGTTCGTGGAAAGTCGACGGCGCTTAGTGTTGCCATTTATAGGGGGTATATCTAATTTAAAAATTAACGTACTGTATAATTTTCAATAAGAAACCAAATTAACACCTAGACCTTTTAATAAGTCAAAAGAATTCACATACCTTGGATCGCTAGTACATAAAACAAGACAAGCGGGACAAGAGACGAAATAAAAACACGCAGTAATAGCAAACAGAAGTCTTTATGGTCTTCACAAACATCGTGAGAAAAACCTAAAACGTGCGATAAAGCTTAAAATTTACTAGACCTTAAAAATACGACCGGTTTTGATATGTGGGTCTGAAACATGGACTATCTCAAAACGACGAGGGACTATACTGTTATCTTTGAGAGAAAATACTTTTTTTGGAGCCGTAAATGGAAATGGCCTAGGGTGTCGAATATACCAGCTATACGCAGATCCAGATATTGTGAAATTTATTAAGATGCAGAGACTAAGATGGGCTGGACACATTGCTAGCATGTCCGGTAGCCTTCTTCCTAGATTAATTGCAGTTAATTTGCAGAATTTTTTTTTGACAATTGCCTTTAATAGATTAAAGGATAGATTTGGTAATCCATAAACCAGCAGTTGCTAGATGTTTGCAATTAATCTCAAAACAGACAAATATTTACTCGTTATTATTTTATATAAATTCAAAAAATAATATAATCAAAATGTACTTTTTAAAAGCTTTCCCTCTTTATATTTGAAGCATACAAAATATAAATTACAAAAACATGCCAACACTGCCAAACCAAAATATTTTGTTTCATGGTTGACATTTTCGGCTACATACTAATCCTGGGATAGTGGACACTTTATTATCAGCTCCGCTGCTATTATTAATTAAGCCGTTGAAAACCAGAGTCTAAGTCAAATCTAGTCTAAGTCAAAAATTTCCCGTTACGCGATTTCTTGGTATAATTATGTTTAACAGGGTTCGAGTACTGACTCATTGTTCCGCTGGAATTGTTTAAGCTTTTTTTATTGAAAATCATCCTGATCATAGTCAGTCTCTATGTTCCTATTTAACGCCAACATATTAACGTTAAGTCATCGTTTCCAGAATACCAGCATTTCTGACTTGGACCACTCTGGTTTTCAACGGTTCAATTGTTTGTAACAGTTTATAATTAAATAAATAGTTACATTTGCTAGTCTTTGCTTCATTCAATACATAACTATTTGGCGTTTTTTTTTGACAAATGGCAAAAGAAGGCTCGACAGAAGAAGAGAAGTGGAAGAAATAGGGAAACCTAGTCAATCTGAAAAAGGTAGAAAAAACATACAAAAGTTAATTGAATTCATTACCAAACGCAAAGAATTTAAAAAAATGAAACAGAAGAGATGCAACTAATAAAACAAAAACTGTAGAAATTGAGTAGATTTAGAGGAAATCTTGAATTATGGACACAGATAGCCCATAGGAACTACAAGAAGCAATAAAAATTGTATGAAGAAACATTTAGGGGGTTGAAGTAGAAGTTTAAAAAAAAAACGCAAAAATTGGAAGAAACAAAAACTGAAAGACATGAAAAATAAATGAATCTATACAAAAAAATTACCAACCAAGAGCAAAAAAGGAAAGAAGCAAAAACTAGCTTACGAAATCTAGAAGGGCAAGTATGGACATGGAACAAAAAGAAAGCAAATTAAATGAACCAAAAAATTGACAGAAACACAGGGACGGAAAACAGCGAAATAGACCAGACAAAGAATATATTTATAAAGAAAATAAAATAGAAAAAACAAACTAGCAACTAGGAATGTAAGAACGATGCTCACAGGAAAAGTTGAAAAAACAGTGGGGACATAAATAAAGGAAAGTACACATTCTTTTAATAAAATAAATATGGAACGAACACTTATATTCAATCATAAATAAGGAGAACAATAAAAAAGAGGAAGAAGGGCGGAAAAGATTTTTATTCTAATTTTTTTCCTTGAGCATTTCGACTGTTATCATATCTGGGCCTGGTGCCGGTCTTACTTCGCTTTATGCATAAAATTCTTTGCATCAGGTCCCCTGGCTGGTTGTTTTGATCGTGTCTCTCAATTTACTTGAATATATTGTTGTTTGTCAGCCTTGCATATCTGTTTTACCTCTTTGAGGTTTCTCAAATTGTTTTTTCACTTTCTATGTAGGTATACATGTTTGACAAAAATGTATATAATTTACTATTCTATTCTCCATTATTTGAAATGTTTCATCTGTTATGCAGTGCTTTTTTTTTATAGAATTATTTGTCTTTACACGACTCATTGGTGTTATTATGCAGGGGCGGATCCAGGATTTATGTTTGGGGGGTCTGGAGGGTAACCCCCAGAAAGAGGGGGGTTGAGGTCCGAAAATTTTTTTGGAATTTAAGCCTCTGAAAAAAACGTTTTTAGCACATTTTTGTTCAAAAAGTGCAACTTCATTTTTCTTAAATTCGTGTTTTTTAATGGGTTTATGAAGTTTAGTTTCTTTGGAGCAGTGCCTAAAACAGAGTAGTTTAAATGCACTATCCTTTTTTCGATGTTGAAATAAACCTAGGTGATACTTTAATTTTTTCAATTACTAAACTAATTAAGTTGTATGACCAAAAAAACTGAAATACAATTAGTGTCTAAAATAACGTTATGAAAATTGTTTATAGGTACAGTAAATAAAAAACACCGTTTTAGTTAATAGGTAAGTCTATTTACATAGGCCTATTAAGTATTAATGTAGTTAAATATATATACAGGATTGGACAGTTGTTAAAACCAAGAAATACATAAAAAGAACAACTGAAATAATTAAAACTGTAAAGTAAAAACATGTTTAATGAATAAGAAATTCATTTACTAAATGTTCAATTTAATGAAAAAGACAACTTCCGCTTATGCTTCCTTGCAAAAAGTTTCAACACTTCATCTGGATCTAAACTGGAAGCTATTTCCTGGTGTATGTGCAAACTTGCCAGCCCATTAAGTCGTTCCTCCGTCATGGTAGACCTTAAGTAGGTTTTTAATCTGCGGAGAGTAGAAAACGATCGTTCAGCAGTACTACTGGTCACAGGTAGTGTGCAAATAAGCTGGAGCAACACTGTTATGTTGGGCAGATCGGATGAGTATTTCATAGCTTCAGCAGGGTGTTTAGGGAAACTTTCTGAAGTAGAATTCCACATGTGTTTCCAAATACTCAACTCTCCTTTCAAAGCTTCATAGCATGGGAGGTCATTTTCATACAGTTTAGCCCCTTCTAAAACAGAGTCCTCATAGAGATCTGAAAATTTACCTAGTACTGGTAGAAGCATCTGGAGCTTTCCAATCTGGACCAATTGATTTTTTGGAAATCTATTTTTCATTTCACAGACGAGAAAATCCAAAAAAGGGAGATAAATAGACAATCGAAAGTCTATTCCCATCGGAATAATATATCAGTTTATATTTAACTTCTACTTTTTTATGTTCAACCAACATTTATGTATCCTAGTGCTCAAGTGCTGACTTTCGATCGATACTGCTGTTAAGTGAGTCTATCGTTAAAAATTATACTACTTTGAGTAGGCCTGGTAGTTGTTAAGACTTACCTTTATCTTTTTTGAAAAGAATGAATCTAATCCTAATTGACGTTTCATTACAACCACAAGGTCCACAAAGCTATAGAAATAGAGTTGACTGTTGAGGTTAGGTCAGAGTAACAATTGCACTTGGCAGCTCCAGCTCACTCGACTTAAGTGACACAACTACTAACTACTAACGGTCGAACGAAAAATATCGATTGCTTCCGCGCAGTTGACTTGCGCTGTTGCTCATATTTCCACGACTGTAGAAAGCCGGCCGAAACACGATTTAGGCTTTAACCTTGGACTTGTCAAGCCAGCTGGGGCAGGCAGCTCGCGGCTGACTCACGACTCACCCTAGAGCAGTGGTGGTGATTTATTGTAGCAAGAATTTACGTTAATAATGTATCTGTTTGGATATTATTAGCTACTTGCAGTAAGGTAGCTAAAATATTTTATCGGTAAAAAAAACCTTATGAGGGCTTGGGGGGGCACGTGCCCCCTGTGCCCCCCCCCTAGATCCGCCCATGTTATTATGTTATGTTTAACGGCTTCCCATATTTCTTGGCATGTTAAGAATCGAGCACAGAGATTCATTAAGTTTTAACGCTGAATTAGAATTTTTCATTGGTTTTTAGTAGCATGTTAAGCTTCACTAATCGCCAGATCCATAAACGTAAACGATTCATTTTTTTTGTAAAATAAAATAACTCAATAGTATAAATATTTATTGAAATTATTGAAAAGTATACAAAAGGAAGCTAATATTTTTAAAATAACATATATTAATTTGATTCTTTCATACGCATCCCTTTTCTCTTACAAGAATATATACTATGTAGTTTTAACTAAAACGATACCTTACGGATAAGCTTCAATACGTCCTAACAAAAAGCAGATGCCTATTTAGTACTTTCATTTATTAATTTAACGAGTTCTTTTCTCAATTGTTTCACATTGTCTACTTAAAATTTACAATCTCACAGATATTTTAATAAGTCTTAATAAAAGCATGATATGGAAATGGGTTCTACAAGTCTTGAAAAATAGCAATTTATGACTACAATTACGTGCCGCTACTTTTGAATAGATTTTGTCTCTTTAGGAAGCGATTTTGCAGCCGATTTATGTCAAATTTTTAATCTCGAACGAAGATGACGGGTGTACCTAAAACTGTGGCTCTTCTGGAGATATTTGATGCGGTACCATGTTGAAGGGTCATACCAAAAATAGTAAAATGGTTCTTCAATTGTTTTGGAGTTATTGGATAAGGTATCAGCATCTTCAAACAACTGTATCCTCGTACGAAAGCATTTTCGGAGATGATTAATACATACCAAATTATTAATATGAATGGGAAGAACCCAAAAACTGTAGCTCTTCATCGGTTCTGAAGATATCTGGTACGGAACAATGTTGAAGTACATACCAAATGTAGCGAAATAGTTTTTCAACTGTTCCGGGAGTTATTGTCTAAGGTATCATCTTAAAACAGTTGTAGCCTCGTATGGAAGCATCTTTGGTGATGACTAATGCCAAATTGTTAGTGTTAAACGAAGATAAAGGGCGCAGTACCCAAAATTGCAGCTCTTTAACCGTTCCGAAGATATTTGATACGGTGTCATGTTGAAGGGACATACCAAATACAGACAAATGAATCTTTAACTATTCTGGAATTATTGGATAAGGTATCATTATCTTCAAACAACTGTAGTCTTGTATGGAAGAATTTTTGGAGATGATTTATGCCAAATTGTGAATTCTGAAAGATAAAGATAAAGTACACAAAATCTATAGCTGAAAATTTAAAGCTCTGAAGATATATGATACGGTACCATGAATGAATGGACATACCAAAAATGTCGTCAAATGGTTCTTTAACTGTTCTGGAGTTATTGGATAAGGTATAATCATTTTCAAACAATTGTAGCCCGGTATGGAAGCATTTTTGGAGATGATTTATGCCAAACTGTTAATGTGTAACGAAGATTAAAGGGAAAGTAGATATTTCATATACAGTAGTATGTTGAAAAAATATACTAAACTAGTTAAATGATTCTTCAACTGTTCTGGAGTTATTGGATAAGTCCCGTATGGAAGCATTTTTGGAGATGATTAATGACAAATTGTTAGTGTTCAACGAAGATGAAGGGGGAAGTACCCAAAACTCTGTCTCTTCAACCGTTCCGAAGATATCTGATACAGTACAATGTTGAAGGGAGTTACCAAATGTAGTCAAATGGGTTTTCAACTGTTCTGGAGTTATTGAATAAGATATTACCATCTTCAAACAACTGTAGCCTTGTATGGAAGTATTTTTAGTGATGATTCATGCCAAATTGTTAATGCTGAAAGAAGAAGAAACTGAAGTACTTAAAAACTATAGCTTTTCAACCGTTCTAAAGATGTCTGATACGGTACTATGTTGAAGGGGCATACCAAATGTAGTCAAATGGTTCTTCAACTGTACTGGAGTTAAAGGATAAGGTATCATCATCTTCAAAAAACTGTAGCCTCGTACGGAAGCATTTTCGGCGATGATTTATGCCAACATGTTAATGTTAAACGAAGAAGGGAGAGGTACCCAAAATTAAAGCTCTTCAATCGTTCTGAAAATATTTTATATGGCACCATATTAAAGGAAAATGGCGGAGGAAGCTCCTAACTGTAGTCAAATGTTCTGAAGGTGTTGGGTGTGGTGCCATCTTAAAGAGCCTAATGAAAGCATTTTTAAGTACTAAAATGTCAAATTTATACATTAAATAATTTTTATCGGCAAAAATACAGTAAATCGTTTTGTGTGGAATTTTTACAAACATTTTTTCACTCCCATTATTTGTCTTTATAATAAACAAATGACCCAACTCTTCATTTCCATAATTTTAAAAATTTTATAGATTGCTTTTTCATTTTGAGAATTAAGCAAATATGCACAGTTAACACAACATAAATGTGAACACCGGATTGAAACATAAAACCCATTTTAACCGACTTGAAACAACTACATTGTAGAACCCATTTCAAAAAAACTGTTGCCGCGGAATACTAGTAGAGTAAACGTAAAAATACAAATAAAACATAGAATAAGTTATTGCACACGCAACAAAAACATAAAAGGAATGATAACGCATACTATTATGTAAATTATTTCGTTAAAATTATATGTTAAGTAAATAGTGTAAATCTAAGTGTTATTTTTTAACGATTATAATCTTTAACAACTTATTCTTGATTTCTCTCTGCCTGCAACAAAAAATAAAAAGGAATTAGTAAAAAAAATAATACGTATTCACATCATACAAAATAAATACACAAATAAACATGTTTTTTCAATAAAACAGATTTGACAACAGTTTATTTTTATGAACGAGAGAGTAATTAGCATAATTTTAACTGGTACCTCCGACCACTCCATGGGCGTGCTCAAGATTAATTGAAAAATTACTTTGAATAATTGTAAAAAATAAATGAATTATTTCAGTGTTATAAAGTGTTATGTGTATGTAAACAAAAGTGACCTCTTTTATCACACACTATATTAGAACTGACTGGCCTACATTAAAAAGGGTTTTAAAAAATTCACATTTTTTTTAATTTTTAAAAATTACAAAAGAGAAAAAGAGTTTTTAAAACCGTCTAAGGTATGTTAAATAGATGAATAAAAATATTAATATAAAACTTACAACTACTTGTTACAAATCCAAATCAGATTCAGAAGATGAACTTTCAGAACCAAGATTTATAATAACTGGCTCGATCATTTTATCAGTAATATTGTCCAGCTTCCACATTTTTTCCTCTTCTTTAATAGTGTGATTTACTGCCTTTTCCCAGTTTTCAGGTTTTACATTATTTACGGCCTCCAAAAACAACTGTTTAACATCATGAATTTTAAAAGTGGTATTTTTTCTTGAAACTTCACTCTTTATCTGTGCCCATACCAGTTCAATCGGGTTTAATCACAATGATATGGTGGGGATCTAAGTACTGTCATTCCACGATTTTTGGCAATTTCATCAATTTCGTATTTTTAAAATTTTTCTTTATGAAGGGCACACAACGAATAAAGTTCCTTTCTTATAGATCCGGGATGGTACCTAATATTTTTTGAACTCAGCCAATTCTGCAAGTGTTTTTTTAACCACTTGGTTCTGGTTCCTTCTATAAGTCTGGAGTGATAACTTGCATTATCCATTACTATTACACAGTTCTTAGGAAGAAGATCTATCATTTGTTCGAACCATTCTTGAAAGACATCAGTGTTCATGCCTTCATGGTAGTCACCGGTACGAGTTGATTCAAAAGTTAATAAACCACCTTCAACAAAACCGTATGAACTGCCAATGTGTACTATTATCAGCCTGCGTTCCTTTCCTGATGGTGGGTTTAAACCAGTAGATAAGTTATTTACAAAAGCGTGCCTTTGACTTGTAACAGTTTCATCCTGCCAAAATTTATTTGGTGTATGACCCTCGTTGATCCATGTTTCATCAAGATAAAATATTTTTCTTTTTTGGTTTCTCATTTCCTTTATGGTTCTTAGAAAATGTCTTCTCCATATGACAATATCGCTTCTTTCTAATAAAATAGACTTTCTGGGATTCTTTTTCCAGCGGAAGCCTATTTCTTTTAAAAGTTTCCATAACGTACTTCGACTCATTTCTGGGCAATCCTTATCATCTCGAACTGAGACAAGAACTTTATCCAATGTTGGAAATTCTTGTCTAAAGAAGAATTCATGCACTTTCCGTCGAAGTCCTTCTTTAAAATGATATTCTATTTGAAATTTTGGTTTCCCTGAAGCATTACGTGGCATTTGAAAACTACCACATTTCTCTTCTTTAATAACTCTGTAAATCGTAGATTTCCCAACACCAAGTGTACTGCTAACTAACTCAACGGTGTCATCAACACTTTCACATAAACGTTTGTCTGCAAATGATTTAAAACAATTAAATATTAATGTTTTTTTATTAACTGTTAAAGGACCAATTTTTCGGCGTTTACACGGCACTTCCAAATTTTCCATAACACTAGTATACACAATAAACTGCACCTTGCAACTGAAGTACCTACTTTTAGTGAACTGTTAAGAATTTTGAATACGCCACTTGGACCTTCCTACAAAATGGAAAAACCCACTATCACATTTTCTGTGGAATAAGTTTAGAAGGTAATTATCTAGTCAATTACTGTCGTAGATTCCTGGAATTAAAGAATTAAATGTTTGATTGTTGAAACCCTTACTTCGTGGAATGCACTCATTTCAGATAAAATAAAACGTTTTATTTTATCTAAAGAATTAAACTTTATTTTGCAAATAGGTAGGTACTTATTAAACTTTTATTGGTTATATATAACCAATAAAATAAACATCTTACATTTTTTGCAAATTCATTAGTACCTGTTAACCTCCATCACTCTGACACTGGCAACCTTATTTAGGGATTAGTAACCCTCACAACTATTGTATTCTATTCTGCTCCAACCTTTATACCTGGTGGTTATACTCAATTTAAAATTGTTTTCCTATATACTTCTGTAAACTTGTTGACAAATATCTGTTTTTCATTGAGTCACGCGTATTAACAGTTTAGGGATTTGCATACATAATTTATTGTTTTATTACTCTCTCATACATAAAAATACACTTTAACAGTACAGCATCGGAAGTTGAAAAAGTGAACATATAAGATTAAAAATATTTTTTATGCGTTGCTTACAAATAGTACAGTACAGTTCACCAAATATACAGTACAGTTCATTGCCTGCGCTAACAATGAAGTAAGAACGCACATACAAACGGTCTGGTCTGGACCGACAGTGCGAGTGCGAGGTCCGTCGTTTGACGAATGCGCATCATGATCGTCACGCTTTTTCACACTTTCAGCTATATTTGGCGAACTATAATAGAGAGTACCTTTTACGGCAACAGTACGACGGTAGTCAAGTAGTAACAGATAAGTTAAGATACTTCGTATCGATCCCGAAAGTTTTAACAATCTCGTGTAAAAATAGTATTATCTCTTGAGAAAAGAAAGATAATAAATATTTTTATCGGCAAAAGTATTCGTTTATTATCGTCATTATTTCTTTTATCATCGAATAAGTAGGTACTCGGTAGTTTTCAGTTTTTGTTTGAAAACATACTAATTTCTGGTTGTCCGAAAATTAATCAAATATTAACACAATTCAGTGGTGGCGCCACATCATCCACGGTTTTTAAGGTTAAAACTTTGGCCCGCACATAAAAGGTAAGTGAAAAACCATCAAATTAACTTTCCGGTTTTAGCCAGAACGGCAGTTAAAAACTTATATAAAAGGAAATATTTGACAAATTAAAGCAATGTATGTATTGCATATTCATTATTAGGAGTTCCAAACCTATATGTTTACCCGTGGAGAAGTTTAAAAAATTTTGCGACCGAATACACCGAGCAAATCATAAGTACTAAAATCTATAAGGTAAAAGTACCTTTTTTAAATACTTCGTTGGCTTATAAATTGTTGCCGCAGCTGTTACCATCACAGTACAAAAACTGACACCCCATATTTGAACAAATGTTGGCGTTTCTTACATTGGATACCTTGAAAAATACAGAACGGTTACTATTTGTGGTGCATATTGTAGGCAAGCATCTACGAACACAACAAATGATAGGCTAGCAGCTACAAAAATTTCGTAATATTTACATGTTTATTGGATATTATTTCTTAAAAAAAAAATACAGGCTGAGTATTTAGCAACATGGAAAACCGACGATGATTTGTAGATATCAAGCAAGAATTTTACAAAATATAAAAAATATGAAAGTTGTGAAATTGGCCCGCAAAGTAAAGAAAATGGCGTAAAAGTAATGAAATGGTAAAGACAAAACGATCCATCCCTTAATTTCAATTTTCTTTTCGAAACAATTCTAATGGCAGAGGATATAAACAGAATAGAAGTTATGCATCATATGAATCACCTGTGTTTACTCAATTATGCTTTAGAAAACCTTGGGCATTAAGGAAAAACAACATGTGCTGAACATATGAGAAAGGAAAGTATTAAGAAAAACCTTTGTGGGTAAAATACTCAAAGCATCTTAAAGAGTCTACGCTTTCTTTCGCGTTCTACGTCACTAACCAGGGAGTCGTTCAGAAACTGTGAGGGGGTTTCTGTTAAATGCTACAGCGGGATACGATGCTAAAATCCGGCTGGATTCTTATTTGGGATTGGGCATTCGAAAGTACATATTTAGAAACCCCTTTAGCCAAATTTTTAGCTCCCTAGGTAGCCCTAGGGTCTCCTAACGCAAAAAATGTGTTTTTTCGAAATAAAAAAAATCCTGGGTTCCTTGCTTTAAAAAAATCAGAAAATTCGTGAATTTCCATACTTTTTTTTCACATTTTCAATGCCCAAAACACTGATTTTTTGATCAAAATTTGAGCCCAGGAAAAATATTTGAATGTTTCAAAGAATTTTTAGGTTATGTAGTTAATTTTTAGCAAATTTTTCGCGTATTTTTTTAATCGTTTGCATGACGATTTTATATTTGCCATTTTCTCTCCGGAAAATTCTCAAAATAATGAAAGTGATCGAAAATATCTACCACAACACATTAAAAGTAAAAGTAGAATAACTAACTGACTCTATTGAAGCTGGCAATGTAATAAGACAGGGAGAGTTCAACCTGATTATGGATGAAATAATAAAAAAAGTAAGAACTAAAAAAGGATACCAAATGTATGTACTAAAAACGGGGAAAAAATAAAAACAGAGGTTGTGTCGTATTTTGAGCATGTTATGGTCTGAAAACCGCAAACCTAATCTCGCTATTCGAATAAAGAAAAAATATAACAAAAATCGTTATTTATTTACATTCAGTTGAGTTTGTGTTAAAAACATGAGGAAAATACAAAAAAATGGGATTTTTCAAATTTTGAGAATATTTCGGAGAGAAATTTGCAAATCTAACCGCCTTTCAAAAGAACGAAAAATAAATATTTAGAAGTTTACCAAAAATTACCTATATAACCTAAAAATTCTTTGTAAAATTCAAATATTTTTTCTGAGCTCAATTTAGATAAAAAAAATCGGAAAAAATCATAGTGTTGTTGGCATGAAAATGTATGTTTGTGATTTTCCAGATATTTTTTCTCGAAAAAACACATTTTTTGCGATAGAAGACTCTTACGCCACCTAGGGAGCTAAACATTTGGCTAAAGGGCTTTCTAAATATGTACTTTTGAGGGCTCAATCCCAAATGGATATTGAACAAGTAATGGAAATATAATACCTTGGAATATTCTATTACTGCTATGTAGACCTGGACAATGAAGTTGTGATCAAGTAGAAAAAGTAAGTAGACTGGCAGTGTCAGCACAGGAAATACGCTGAAAGAAGTGAAGTGACACTAAATAAAAAAAAAGAATGGAATAACCACGTAGCAGAATGGGGGAGACCCTTGAGGGGTCGAAATGGCAAGAGATAAATCACCTATCGGCAGACGAATTATCGGACGACCGCGCAAAAGAAGGAGTGACAATCTTCCATAGAGGTATTAATCCGCCAATGAACCAGCAGCATTGCTTATAAATAGATAGAAAAAGAATCCAACCGAGCGCAGATTTTACCATCTTATACCGCTACAGCCTTTGTTATCTAGGACTTTTGTAATGGGATTTGTGTTCGTCACTTAGTAAGTGACATTCAACGTCCCTTTCTCATAAAAATTTCATGTTTTACGTCAAATCGTCGCGTTTACGTCACGGTTAAGTCGTTCAAGATACACGGACTGGTTATCTGCAACTTTTCTATTTTGGTCCTTGGCGTTTTCTTGTAACATTTAACATAATGGAATTTGATATAACAGTACCGGAAATGTGACATTTTGACGAGCAACGTGGCGTAGAACGCGAAATATAGATACGCATCGCCACTTAACAAAAAACATGGAATTTAAGGAGGTAGGGCAATTTCTGGCGAGAATTTACTGTCATTGTTTAAATGATTAAACGACTTCATTCAACAATCCCCTCATCTAATTAAAAAATATCATCACATCAGATACACTGATTAAAAGGTTTTTCTAACAATTAATGTCTTTTTTTACTCGTCTTTGGCGTCTTTGTTTCATCCATAATTACCTCTTTTTATACAAATCTCTTTCCTTAGAGACATCTTTCAATATCTGTAAGCAGATACCGGCCGCTGGTGACCAGATATAAAATTTATAAATTGTAAACAAACAAATTACATTACATAATATTCGATATTGATGATTCATTTCCCAAGATATTGAACAAAATACGGAAGCTAGAACTCTGTCAATGCTGTTCGCATTTTTTGTAACTTTGGACAGTTTTCGCCTGCTGCTCTACACTCAAATGACTGTCGATATGACTACACGGTGCAGTAATGGAACCAGATTTCATTTATTGGCAGATTGATGCAAACATTCCTGTTTAATACACGTAAAAAGTTGGAAACAACGTTCTGAATCGTCAATGCCCTGTTTTTATAGATTGTGAACACAGCAGTATTGATTAACAAATTTTAATCAAAACCGATTAATACACTTTATTTTAATATCTCCAATTGCCTTGTTTTCCTGGAACAACTGCCGACTTTACCAAAGCAATCAGCATCATTTATGTCTTTTCAACGGTTTTTAGAGTCAGCATATCACCGCCTAACCGTTGTTTCGGACAAAACAGAGTACGAACAATACTTGTGAATCCTTTACTTTGTTTAACAGTATTTTTCCCCACCAGCTATTTTTTTATCTACATGAGATACAAATTATTATACTGTTTTGAAAATGACGAAAATTTACTTTCAGTTGTAAACTAATGGTGCAATTGAACTCATAAAAGGTCACACCTTCCCGAAATCATATCGATTAGTAATTAGTGGCGCCATCTATGAATTAGAGACGGGACTCTCTCGATTAGGTCAGCTCCCGCTGACACATGGAGATAGTCTGCACAAACACGGGAGCCGCATTACTGGAAGTAAATAGGTTTAAAAAAAGGTGAGCCGAGCTTTTAAGCAAAAGATCAAAAATAATCTAGAAGTTACCAAAATTTTGTAACGGATGTGAACATTTTTATAACCGGAAGTTATCCAAGACATGTTTTAAGTCGTATTTTTGTACGCTAAACACGAATCCGTTGTCAAAATAAGCGTATCTATCGTCGTTTGCGATTTATATAGTTTTTATTAATTTTCTGAAAACCGAAAGTGAGTTTTACATTTTGACAATTGTTGCCGTAATAACTTTTTAAGTGTTGAATTGTAATCCGTCGTCATTATAGTTCTTTTAATCTAAGACTGGAGAGACGCGCGGACGGACGGACGGACTGATAGATAGTCCATCCGTCAAAATTTTATTTTCCGTCCGTCATTATTTTTCTATGATTATTTCGATCCAATGAAGAAATGCACCAACTAGAGAAAACACTGTAAAATATATTACGAAATCTTTGTAAATTGAATGTGAAATGCATATTTTGATGTTTCCATAAACTTGGGTGTTTAACAATATGAAGTGTCGATAAAAAACATAAAATAAGCAAAATAATATCTACATATTGCTCTTGCACGTAAATAAGAATGTATACAATTTTTCATGCTTTTAAAAAACCCAACTCGGTTAAAAATATAAATTTACTGTTAAAACGACTATACTTAAAGCTTCCATGCACACTAAATACCTTCTTCTTTCTTTTTTTATTCTTTGGTTTTTTATAATCTTCGATAAGAGACGAAGCTACACTAGATGACGACGACAGACAATGCTAGTAAAAGAAGGTTAGTACGGAGTTAGTAAGCTCGAACTGTTAAAACCCGGTTAATAAAAGGTCTCTTCAAACTGGTATAATACATTATATAATACTTACATCAAGAAAAGAAGGTCCATTTGAAGAATTATTACAATTTTGTGCCTGGAAGTAAAGAGAATAACCGTTTAAATGGTTTTTTTAAATAATCTCTTGAATTAACTTTTTATATTGACATTCCGACTTCCAAATTGGAAGCTGTTTTCAAAAACAATTTTTCAAATGAAAACAATTACTAATTTTTAAATTAAGTCAATCTTACTTTAAGACAAACTCCTACGTCTCCGTTTTTAGTTTGTTCTAATCTAAGCTGTTCTCTTAAATGATTCACCTCCTAAAAAATATATTTAAAGTAAAATATACCATCGCAGCAGTTATTATACTCGATTTGGAAATGCATAATAGTAGTTTTTTTTAATTTTACTGAATTTGCATAGTTAGTATATTCGAAATTCAATAGTACTGTAGTGACTCATTTTTTAAGTTATAACCACTTGCAGTGTACTTGCAGCTACTTATGGTAACTTTGTAACCTCGAATGCAAATAAACAATGAAATCGGATAGTCGTCAGCATCTAAAGAGAGTATAGTCGGGTGAAACGAAAACGAAACCAACGTGCAGTACAATGTACTGAGTACATATGTTGATAAAAAATATAAAAGGTGGATATTATCAGCGCAAGACAAATTAATGATTAAGTATATGAGGGATTACGTTGATACGATATCTCAGCATCGTGTGAAAATTTGCCGGAGGTGTCAGCACGTACGGATTCCCGGATAAATCAACATAAAAAAACTTAAAACTAACAGATTATAGGAATGACAAGACTAACATATTAAAAGTTCGCGACAAAGTCTAAATGAAGCAGTTTCAACTGATTTAAACGAACTTTCGTATAAAGAAAGACGTTCCATTATCACGCAAATACGATGCGATTAAGATTTTTTACAAGGTGGTTTATTAAAGTTACTATTTTAATATATTGTTGTATAGTACATAGCAACGGCAATTCATAAACAAATGGCGACTTAAAATCTTTAATATTGCAAAAATTACATAATTGTTCTCACGGACGATTCCTTAGAACGATTTTTACGAATACTAGAATGATACACGCCACTATAGACATGCGCTCGTCTTTCAATGCAGACTCCCCAGTCTATGCTTTTGAAACGATAGCCTTACAATCCTATTGAATTTCTATCGTATTATTTATGAATATATGATAACTTTATAAATAATAATTATACAAAATAAACAGATCATTAATTAAAAAAAATGTAATAAACTTACCTCTGACAGTTTTTCTATCGTAGCTGTCGAATCGGCTTGCGTGCTACGTTGTGTCTTTTGACTTTTAAGCAGTTGGCACTCTTCTAAAAGTTTCTTTTTCTCTTCGACTTCCTTCGATAAGAGGTTTTCTAAATTCGCAAGTTTTGTTTGCAACTATAAAGAAAAAATATGTCAAGGTATGTTGGTAGTTGGAACATGCGACACATAGAAAGAAACCAAAAGCCACACTGTTGTAACATAACCATTGGATCAATGAGGGATTTTTCTTGTTAATTTTCAAGAACAGATCCGATTGTCGTTCTTTTTTTGGACTGTTAGTTTTTATATTGTTATTCCAAATCATGCATAACTAAATAAATTTTTCACAAAGTTTGCTATAATTTTTTTACAGAGGAATTAAGTCATTATTTTTTGTTATTTTATGATTATTAGAAGCTTTAATAAAATCGAAGGACGCAGAGGAATTGATAAAAAGCAGGCCTCTTGGTTGAAGAATATCAGGGAGTGGACAGGAATAAGGAAAGCTGAGCAACTCTTTAGAATAGCTCGAGACATAGACAGTTTCGCCATGTTAATCGCCAACGTCAAGGGGACTTGATAGGACACGTTAAGAAGAAGCTTTAAAATGTACATAAATTATTAAAAATTTAAAAATAAATGATTTTTGAAGGGTTGTCCATCGAGCGACCTCTACAGTTATCCATTTGCTAGTATACGAAGCCTGGTCAGGGATTCCATACGGTATATTGAGAATATAAAGGATATCATAGCAAGACCGAATGATATAATGATACAGGGAAGTTTTCATGATATAATAGTAGCAGCTATATGACACATACAATACTCAATCGGCAAATAACCAGACAACAGCTACAAAACTAATCATACCGTGAGATTTTTTCTGCGACTACTGCGCCTCTTACTACCGGGGTATAACACTATGGTGTCCAGTAGTTGCATGGTACAAGGAGAATTCTTCTTCTTAGGGTGCCTGTCCGTTCCGAACGTTGGCGATCATTCTGGCTATGATGACTTTGTTGGTTGCTGTGTTGAGGTCTTTCTATATCATGCTCTTAGGTTAGCAAGCCAGGATATTCTTCTTCGTCCTGGGGCCCATTTTCCTTAAATTTTACCTTGCAAAATGCATTGGAGTAGCTCATATCTCCCTCGATTTCTTATTATATGTCCCAAGCACTGCAGCTTACGGCCCTTCACAATGTTGACCAAATCCGCGGTTGGGTTCATTCTCCGTAATACTTCTTCATTAGTGACTTTGATCTGTCCACGGTATCTTCAGAATTCTTCTGTATAACCATAGCTCAAAAGCCTGAAGTTTTGATAGTTTCCGCCTTCAATGTCCACGTTTCTACCCCGTACAGAAACACTGAGTACACGTAACATTTAAGGAGCCTTATTTTTGTTTCTAGGGTGAGGTCATGGCTCTTGAACACAGAGCTCATAGTCAAGAATGCACTTTTTGCCTTTCCGATGAGACATTTAATCTCTTGGGTATTGTCCCACGACTCATTGATTATAGTTCCCAAGTAGTTGTACCGTGAGACACGTTCAATTCTCATTTGGTTCACCTACAGATTTGCTCCAGTTATGTTTTCCTTGCTGATGATTATTAGCTTGGTTTTGCTGGTGTTTATATCCAGTCTATATATGTTCTACTTGTTTCCGTTATTTTGTTTATTAAGTTTGACAGTCCTTCTATGGTAATGCAAAATACTATTGTATCATCTGCATACCGCAGGTTATTGAGCTGACTCCATTTATTGAGATGCCTTCATCAATATCTTTAGCGCTCCTTCAAAAATGTGCTCCGAGTACAGACTGAATACCGGGGATGAAATTATGCGCCTCTAATTCACTCCCCTTAAGATTTTGACCTGATCTGTATATTCTACATCTATTCGGAGTAACGCTGATTGATTACAATACAGGTTAGCTATTATTTTTAGGTCTCTTCCATTAACCCTTGTCCTCTTCAACCCTTCCATCATTTGTTCATGCCTGACTCTATCGAAAGCCTTCTTGAAGTCAATCAGGCATGCAAAACATCACAGCTGACATCTCTACATTTCTGAAATAATACATGCACACTAAATAACGCTTCCCTCGTACCAACAGCGTTCATAAATCCAAACTGATTGGCGCAATTTGTTCCTCTCTATAGTCTTCACAAACTTTTGCTCCTGGTTTTTTGGGCAATGGTACGAACTCCGATTTGAGCCATTCTAGTGGCATTTTTCCAGCCTTGTATATTTCATGTATGTATGACAACATCTAAATATCCACTACGATGTAAGATCGAAATTAATGGGAAACTAATAAAGTAGGAAGGTTTAGATATCTGGGAATAGATATAACTAGTTATGGAGATGTTGAAGAAGTAGGACAACAAGGCTTAAAGGCAAGTAAAGCGGCGGGATCGCTTAATGACACAATGTGGAAGAACAAACACCTAGGACAAGACACAAAAACAAGAATCTATAAAGCTGCAATTAGACCTATATTAACATACACGACGAAGACAAGACACATCTAAAACTAGACGACTACTAGAAACAACAGAGATGAAAATACTCCGACGAATATCAGGGAAAAGTCTGTTGAATAAGGAGAGAAGCAAAAAAATTGGAAGAGCGAAATATAGAAGACATGAACGGATAGTTAACAAAACGGAAACAGGAGTAAAACGAACACATTAGTAGAATATCAGAGGATAGAATAGTATGAATAGCCCAAGATAAGTCACCAAATGGACGAAGAAGTATTGGCAGACGAAGAAAAAGATGGTTCAATAATTTAAACAATTTATTAGGCTAATATTGAAGAAGAAATATTTCTGCAGGAATTTCATAAAGTCCCGGTGTCTTTCCATCCTTCATTTGTCTGACAGCTGCCGTTATTTCTTCTGGTAAGATTTACGGACCTGAATTTTCTTCAATGGTGGGTTCTTGTATTGTTCTAAGATTGTGGAAAAAGTTCTCTAAGTATTCTTCCCATACGTTCTTTTTATCTTCTTTGGTTATGGCAAGATTGCCTTCATAATCTGTTATTTTTCCGCTGTGCGTTTTCAGAACTTTCCAGCTATTTCCTTCACCTTTCGATGGACATTAAATTTATCATATCGACTCTGGCACTCCTCTATTTCTTGACATTGTTCTTATTATTTGACGTTTGACGTGAAATATGACATTTGACCTGACATGTTAGGCGGAATTTTACGTTAAATGCCATATAAATGTTACGTACAGCGTAAAATGTCACGTATATGTCACGTAAATATGTCAAATGAAACGTATAAAACTTAAGTTTTATACGTTTCACGTCAAATGTTACGTAAATATTACGTTTCACGGTAAATGTAATATAAATATGAAATTTCAAGTAAAACAATTGACGTGATATGTAACCTAACACGTCACGTATCACGTCAATTGTCACGTTCGATATTATTATCATCATTCTGGCTTTACAATTTTGAGTGCGTCCTAGCCTTCGGAAGAATTTCTTCCAGTCGATCCTATCCATAGCCTTTCTCCGCCAAGCACGTATTCTTATATTTCTGTCTTCATCGATGTTATCAAAGAACCTTGTTCTTGGTCTTCCTCTTCGTTTCTGGCCAATGGATTTATCACAGCTAGAGCGTTTTTCTCAGAGTCATTTTGTTCCATCCGCATTACATGTCATATCTACCGCATACGTCCTATCTTAATATGTTTTACGATATCTGGTTCTTGGTATATTCTATACAGTTTGAAATTCGTCTTCTCCACACTCCATTGTCATTCGCAACTCCATAGATTCGCCTTAATACTTTTCTTTCAAAACATTCATTACTTTTTGTTAGAGTCCAGGACTCTGAACCATATGTTAGACTGGACGTATTATTGTTTTGTAGAGTTTTACTTTTGTATTTCTTGATATAATTGAGCATTTAAAGAGATTGAACCCGTTCGACATCAAACTTCACAAAATTTGACTCCTTTCAAATGAAGTCTCACCCTATATCTCGTTCAAGCGTGATCATGAAAAATAAAAAAATAAGCAGAATGGACTTAAGCATTTTATTATGGGATTTAATATAGGATTCAAGCGGTTTCGGCAATTTCCTTCCTTCGATTTGATTAGTTTAATTAAATCTGATTGAAGTTCCTAAAATCTTCAGGTTCAGAAGGTTCAGTTCACAAAAGAAATAAAGAAACACATAGACGTTGTATCTTAGACGTTTTAGTCGAACCAAAACCCAAAACTTAGATACTCAGAAATAAAGAGACGAGGGATAAAACTTGAACCAATCGTGCGACAGAAATATGTAAACATGTATCTTTGAGGAAAGAATAATTGATATAGCCAGAAAAAGCTTTGTGACATACAGATATACACCTACCCCGTATAACATATATCTAAATTTTATTTGGTATGAAAGATATAGAGAGCGTGAAACAGTGAGTGACAAAAAGAAAGATATAGAGAGTAAGAGGGAGACAGACATAGAGAGACAGAGGCAAAGAGATAGTGTATGTGTGTGAGAGGAGAAAGAAACAGATGGAGGGATAAAGAAGATAAAGAGTTTTATAGACAAAACATTAAATTAGATTTTTATCACCTTATGACAGACGGTGTGGTCTATAGTGGTTGCGAAACATCTTTTACGCGTCTGTATAAACAGGATCGTCGTTATTGAGTAAGTCACTGTATTTCAGAATTAAAGCAATTTGAATACGAACCATTGTAATCTGCGTTATTACCATTATTGCATTTTAAGAATTTGCTAGTAGTACATTACATAATAAAACAAAAGCATTAGTGCTAATTGGCATTTTAAAAGTACTATCGACATAACAATATACATTAATGATATATTGGGAAATTAAAAAAGTATTGCTGAAAGATTAATATTGTTCCGAAAACCCTCTATGTTCGACTAAGGTCCGCTTGCCATTATGCTAATTTCAGTACTGATTTCAGTGCTAAAAATATTAGTTAGTTGCGCGAGTCGATTTAGTATGAAAAATGTATGTTGGTGTTTGCAACTATCTTGATTTTAATTAGCCTGTAGGCATGCGCTCTACCAATTTTGTATTGACAGTCTAACCTATCTGAAGTTTGTTTTATAGTTTTATGATTAGAGTAAACAAAAC